GACTATGGGTTGAAGGGATTATTGCCACACACAGGAGAGTGAGATCACTAAGGAAATAATGAACTAAGTAGAAAGGGAGGCTTTTTTATGAAGAAGTATGGTAGGCCTATTGCATCTCTTCTAGCTCTGCAGGACTCATTACAGGTGGAAAACCTTCAAGGTCAAGGCTGCTTCTCAGAAGCAGCTGAGAACAGGGAGGTTGGAGGAGCCCTCCCAGTACCTATCTTGATATGATGTGATTGCTCAGTACTGCTAGCTCACTAGCCAATTTGCCCTTGTGGCCATTTTCCTGAGTATAAAGGGTCTTCAATGTCCAAAGGTGGTATTGTGGAATATAGCAGGCAGCTAGTCATGGGCAAAAAGGAAGATGCTGCCTTTCAACACATTCAAGATATAGAAAAATTGGAAATGTTAACTATGGAAACTGACCTGAATAGACAAGGCAGTTTTAAAGCTGGATCTTTCTCGTTGGCTGTGTTGCTTTCTCTGTAAGAGCATCTTCGTGAATCCCTATTTGGTAACACTGTTCAAATCTAGAATATTCATGGGGATGACTGGGCTTTTTCTCATTAAAGTGATCTGGTCAAAAGCCTTCCGAATGCATACCATCACCTGTTTTGCTATTATAATTAGCATAGAGAAAGGTTATTTTTCTTAAAGTCAATAAAATTGACCTTTTCTTGCATTTTCAAAAATGCATAGAGATATGGAATCAGTATTGTAATGCAATCAAGATAGGTATCAAGAGTTCCACCACCCAAAACAACTTTTCCTCATATCCCTTTTGACACCCAGACAATCCTTGGCCTATTCTAAATCTGTTCTAAATCTACATTACAAGGCAAAGCTCAAAAATTCGTTTTTGCTGGTATAATAACAATGCCAACACCAGAAACAGGTAACTGACCCTAATTTGAAAAGTCTCAATATTCTACAAACTTAAAAAACATTCAGATTGCCACTAGGAGGCCATCATTTGGACATTTGGGTTTTTCAGATAAGAAATGTTCCAGTAAGGTCTACTTAACTCTAGAAATTTCCAAAATCTGAAATACATTTGGTTTCTAAGAATTTCAGGTAAGTATTATCTCATTCAAAACTGTAATATTTTAGAGCAAGTCACATTTTTTAATGTTCCAGGCCTGACTCGAACTTTATCAATAAAGAAACTGAGGCTTTGAAAAACTTTCAAGAGGAAAAGAATAAAGAATTATTTCTGGTTATAATGTTATATATGGGTCTGGACTCATTCAGAAATTTACCAGTATGTCCATGAATAAATTTCAACAAGTAGAGGCTTTATTAAATACTAGCCAGGAAAATGGGCATTGGTCAGGTCCATACCCGACACTGATGCTCAGAGTGTGGAGCCAAATTACATTAGTCAGGAGCTTATAAAGGCAAAATTCACAAGGCAATACACTTCTTGTTCATGCAATCAGAGACAAGCACACATCCTGATGTACTTCTGCCTATATGTAATCAAACATACATCCTGTGCAATTGAGACAAACAAGCTTGTTTACAGAAGTGAAAATACACAGCTTGTTATTTTACATGAATAACAGCATTCCAGGAAGTGGTATAGGAGTGGTAGAGTTGGATCTTGAGGTAGCACTATTCCTAATTGTCTGAGAAAGAAGCAGATTGATTTCCAAAGTGGTTTTATAAGTTTACATCCCCACCAGCAATGGAGGAGGGTTCCCTTTCTTCAAATCCTTTCCAGCATGTGTTGTCACTTGAGTTTTTTGTTGGTTTGCATTTATTTTTTAATTTTTTATTATTAATTACACTTTATTCACTTTGTAGCTCCCTCCCACTCCCGTCCCAATCCCTCCCTTCCTTCTCCTTTTCCACGCATGCCCCTCCCCAAGCCCACTGATAGGGGAGCTCTTCTTTTCCTTCCTTCTGATCCTAGTCTATTAGGTCTCATCAGGAGTGGCTGCATTGTCTTCCTCTGTGGCCTGGTAAGGCTGCTCCCCACTCAGGGGGAGGTGATCAAAGAGCAGGCCAATCAGTTTATGTCAGAGACAGTCCCTGTTCCCATTACTATGGAACCCACTTGGAGACTGAACTGTCATGGGCTACATCTATACAGGGGTTCTAGGCAAAGAAGATGCTAAGACTTATGACCAACCTTTGGGCAGAATGCAGGGAATCTTATGAAAGAAGTGGGAAAGAGTAAGATCTAGAGAGGACAGAAGCTCCACAAGGAGAGCAACAGAACCAAAAAATCTGAGCCCAGGGGTCTTCCCTGAGACATATGCTCCAACCAAATCACTTGAGTTTTTGATCTTAGCCATTCTTGTGGGTGTAAGGTGAAATCTCAGGGTCATTTTGATTGGCATTTCCCTGATGATTAAGGATGTTAAGCATTTCTTTAAGTGTTTGTCGGCCATTCGATATTCCTCTATTGAGAATTCTGTTTAGCTCTGAACCCCATTTTTTAATTGGATTACTTGATTTGTTGCTGTTTAACTTCTTGAGTTTTTTATATATTCTAGATATTAGGATATTAGTCTTCTGACAGATATAGTGTTGGCGAAGATTCTTTCCTAGTCCATAGGTATTTTTTGTTGTTGTTGTTGTTTTTTGACAACAGTGTCCTTTGCTTTACAGAATCATTCAGTTTCATGAGGTCCTATTTGTTGATTGTTGATCTTAGAGCCTGTGCTGTTGGTGTTCTGTTCAGGAAGTTGTCTCTTGTGCCAATGAGCTCAAGGCTCTTCCCCACTTTTTCTAACCGATTTAGTATATCTGGTTTTAATGTTGAGGTTTTTGATCCACTTCGACTTTAGTATTGTGCAGGATGATAATTATGGATTTATTTGCATTTTTCTACATGTAGACATCCAGTAGACCAGCATCATTTGTTGAAGATGCTGTCTTTTTTTCCATTGTATGGTTTTGGCATCTTTGTCAAAAATCAGGTGTCCATAAAGTGTGTGGGTTTATTTCAGGGTTTTCTATTCGATTCCATTGATCCATCAGTCAGTTTCTATGCCAGTACCATGCAGTTTTTATTACTGTTGCTTTATATAGTTCAGCTTGAGATCAGGGATGGAGATACCTCCAGAAGATCTTTTATTGTAGAGGATTGTTTTAGCAATTCTGGGTTTCTGGTTATTCCATATGAAGTTGAGAATTTTTTATTCAAGGTCTATAAAGAATTGTGTTGGTAATTTGATGGGAATTGCATTGAATCTGTAGATTGCTTTTGGTAAGATGGCCATTTTTAATATGTTAATCCTGCCAAGCCATAAGGATGGGAGATCTTTCCGTCTTCTCATATCTTCTATTTCTTTCTTCACAGACTAGAAATTTTTTTCATAAAAGTCTTTGACTTGCTTGGTTAGAGTTACACCAAGATACTTTATGTCCTTTGTGGCTATTGTGAAGGGTGTTGTTTCCCTAATTTCTTTCTCAGCCCAAAATACTACTCAGCAATTAAAAAAAAACAAGGAAATCATGAAATTTGCAGGCAAATGGTGGGAACTAGAAAAGATCATCCTGAGTGAGGTATTCCAGAAGCAGAAAGACACACATGGTATATACTCACTTGTAAGTAGATAATAGATATATAATATATATTATTCATACTAAAATCTGTACACCTAAAGAAGCTAAGCAAGAAGGAGAACCCTAGATAAGATGTTCAATCCTTATTCAGAAAGGCAAATCGCAAGAATGTGAAAACAAGGAACAAGACAGTAGCCTACCACAGAGGGCCTCTGAAAGACTCTACCTACCATAGTATTAAAGCAGATGCTAAGACTCATAGCCAAACTTTGGACAGAGTGCAGGGAATTTTATGAAAGAAGGGGGAAACAGAAAGACCTGGAAGGGTCTGGAGCTACACAAGGAAAAAAAACAGAACCAAAAAAATCTGGGCCCTGGAGTCTTTTCTGAAACTGATACTCCAACAAAGGACTATTCATAGAGATAACCTAGAACCCCTGCAGAGATGTAGCCCGTGGTAGCTCAGTCTCCAAATGGGTTCCCTAGTAAGGGGAACAGGGGCTGTCTTCTGACATGAGCACAGTGGGTGGCTCTTTGAACACATCCTCATGTTCAAAGGAAGGGGCAACCTTACCAGGCCACAGAGGAAGACTATAAAAAACAGTCTTGATAAGACCTGATAGGCTAGGGTCAGATGGAAGAGGAGGAGGTCCTCCCCTATCAGTGGACTGGGAAAGGGGCATGGGAGGGGTGAGGGAAGGAGGACAGGATTGGGAGGGGGTGAGGGTGAGGGCTACAGCTGGAATACAAAGTGAATAAGTTGTAATAAATATAAAATCATATTTAAAAAGAACAACAATAAAACATGTTAGCCTTCATAATAAAGGAGAACAAAGGAGATACCTCATGGCTTGATTATAAGACCGTCTGACTCTTAGATCTATTTTCTTATTTTAAATAGTCTTACTTTTAATTCTATGGGTCTATGGGGTGAGGTATGGCCAGTAGAGGGCATCAAACACCCTGGAGCTGGAGTTCTGAAACCTGATATACGAATCTGCAAAACGCAGCAAGCATTCTTAACCACTGAGCCATCTATGCCTCCAGCCACCTAGATCTATTTTCTTAACTTTGGTCTGATTGTGCCTTCATAAGAACCATATAGTAGGACAAAATGGAAACATTCTAGAAAGAAAAGGAGCTAGAATCCTCTTACTACTACTGCTGCTATTACTACTACTACTAATAATAATAGAGGAGTGATACAGGTAAGGTTTTGGTAAATTCTAATAAGAAAATAAAGTCCTCAATTTGGTAGAAGATGAGGCCATGATCCTAGAATACCTTCCTTACAACCTTTGTGAAATGGAGAGAAGATAAAGTCTAGAACCCTTATACCCTCTGTCATAAAATTATATGTCTAAAGGCAAAAATACAGAAAGCTTGAGGGCAATACTGTGGCTGCCTCAATGACTTGAGCTTCAGCTTCTTAAAATTCCTGAGCATTGAAAAGGATCTTTAAGCTGTGGCTTGTATTTCAGGTTGGAGTCCCCAACCCGATCTCTAGTGATGGAAGCCCCAAAAGGGGTAGAAATAAATGCAGAAGCTGGCAACATGGAGGCCACCTGCAGAAGTGAGCTGAGACTAGAGTCCAAGGATGGAGAGGTAAGGAGTGGGAAGGACAAAAATTGGGATGTCTACTGGTCCAAGGGCCAAACTTTCCCCTAGGCTGGTTTGCACTGAGATTAATCTCACACAGTTTCAACCCAAGGAGCTCACAAGAAGGTTGAGCATCATGATTATCAGCTAAACTCACAGTACATAAAAGTTATGATTAGTTATTTGTGAAGTGCTGAGATAATGCTGTGTATGTGTGGAAGGGCAAAATTACATGACTGTGAAAATGAATGCTTTTTTCCAATTTTTTCTGTCTCTCTCTCTCTCTCTCCCTCTCTGCCTTAAAAATAAGATTTAGTTCACCCACAAAATTAAGTTGTATATCACACCCATGTGGCTGAAAACAAACTTAATATACATGTAAATGTTTTATGTTGTATGCTTTGGTTCTTTGAGACTGGAAAGTCGGGTCTAAGTGTTGCCCTGAGTCAGAACAAGCCAAAAACTAACAGGGTCAGAGTAGGTGGCCAAAACACAACCCCAGCCATTAAACACAAATGGCATTTGTAATTTTATATGCAAGTTAAGCTAAATTCCCCTAGCAGCAGGACTCAGACTTGGCTGCAGATTATGAAGGGAATTTATTTAAGTGTTCATAGGTGAACTATTTTATTTAAGAATGAAAATAAAGGGACAACCTGATATTTTAAGATGAAATCCTGCCCTGCCTTGCCTATCTACTTACAGGGTACTTAGAGGGAGGATATCTGGCTTTCCTTGCATTGTTATATCCACCCAGTGGATATTTTTTTTAAAAAAATGATTGGTTTAGTTAGACGTTTGCTTTTTCTTTTGTTTTGTTTTAAAAGAATTTTTCTAATGGAGTCTTCCAATATAAGAAATGCCTCTTCAAAAAACCACACTCATAAAACTGCTTCATAAAGGTTGCTCATAGCCACTCAAACTTGACTTCTGGAGGAGACAGTTATAATCAGAAACTTAATGACTCCTTTCAGTACAGCTTATCTTCCTATGTGTATGCATACACACACACACACACACACACACACACGGCATTTCTCATAGTATTATTCCTTTGAATATTAGTGCTACCATTATAAAAAGAAAGAGGAAGGCTCATTAATCTTTTAAAATGTGGATGATGCTATATATTCGACTGTCTTCTGGAAACTTCAGATTGGCCATGGGTGTGCCATGTGGTAATAAACAATGTTTAATGTGTCATTTCTACATTTTACTACCCTGTGGTAATAAAAACTGTTTAGTGTCATTTCCACACTTATTTGACTCTGTAACACTATTTTTATTCTGCATATAACATGTTTGCAAAAATGCTAATATCAACTAATAATGCATAATATTGCTAGAATATAGGCTTTTGGGGGGCTAGAGGCTACCTTATTCCCACTGCCAACATTGTTCAGCACATAGTAGGTACTTGTGAGATATAAACTGAATGAGGTAGTCTGCTCTTTCTGAGTGTCAAGAGCTTACAGAGCAGTCTCTAAGTGACTCTTTCTTTCCTATACACTCTCTCTAGATTAAGTTGGATGCTGCAAAAATCAAACTACCTAAACTGCCTCGTGGATCCTACACACCCACAGGAACAAGGCAGAAGGTCTTCGAGCTCTGCGTCTGCGCCAATGGGAGGTTATTTCTGTCTCAGGCAGGAACTGGTTCCACTTGTCAGATAAACACAAGTGTCTGCCTTTGAAAGACTATCCATAGTGGACAATTGTCGGCAGTATAAAGGCCCTTTTCGGCTAGAGACACTGGCTGCCAGCTATTTTTACTAGAACACAGAAAGCCTATCAAAGACCTTTTGTGTGTATGTATGTGTGAATGAGTGGGTTGTGCGTGTGTGTGTATGTGTGTGAATGCATATAAATATATAAATATATATAAATAAATATATATATCCTCTGTATAAAATGAGGTTTCAGTACAAAAGGAACCATGGGTGACCCTGTGACATCATCTACTATCATCTTTCTGCCCCATCCCAATCATCCATATGACAGAATCTAAGCACTCATTCAGGCTCGGCATGCCCCAGGCAATTTCAAATCACAGTGGATTAAGTATGTATAGAATATCCATCGATACCTTCAAGAAATCACTCAGCTTCTCTCTTAGTGTCATTAGAGGCAGTAATGGCGGGAATCTTCAGGCTTATCTCAAGTGCTGATAATCTGGTATAAAAAATAAACATTTGACCCATCTAAAATCCCCCAAACCAACGAAGTTGTGATGATGGAGGCTAGCCTGGACTACGTAGTAAGACTGTCTTTGAAAACATAGACATTTGTTTTTCCTTTCTTAACTTCAGCCAAGCTGATCAAGTTCTTCTCTTCAAGATAAAAATGGGGTAAACCCATAAAAATTAGCCACAAGAACTCAAAATGGCCATCCTACCTTTGCAGATCAACATACTAGTTGTGTGACTAAATGAGTGGGAGTTGGGAGTATTGAACTCTGAATGATTTTAAGCCACTACCCTAACTTCTACTTAATCTGCTTCCTTTAAACTTACATATTCGCCCACACTCAATGAGTAAAAGCCGTCAATTGGCAAAGAAGAGGATACCAGCTCCTTCTTTATAGGCTAGAAGCTACGCAATGGCCTCACAAGCAAAGAATACATGGGCTAGACATCTCTTTTAAGGGAAAACTGTTTCACAAGCTTTTAGGTTCTCATTTCTGACTTTATCCAGCAGAGAGACTCAAAACCATTAAATCAATTAGAATCCCAAAGAGTGAGCCTCAGATCCCAAGGGAAGTCGTTTTTTAAGATGAAACTCTAAGAGTAACATAGGGAAGATAACTTTCACAAGTTTCTTGAGCTTAGTAGGCCATTTAGACACATCATATTTCCAAGGGCTTACACAAATGCTCTTACTTTGCTCTTGTGTATTTTGTCAGTGCTGGGGTATTCATATTCCTGAACTCACTGTTATGTTTTCCCTAGGAATCACAGACCTAAGACTCAACATACTGCCAGAACTACCAATGGCAAGTTAATATAAACAGAGTCACATGTCCTCATCAGAATCACTGTGTCCCCTGGGTCAGCAGCACCTGCTCTCCATATATGGAACTAGCTCTCTGATTCCCGCCATCAGCTACCTCTTAGCACCCCACCTTCATTGCCATGCCCCAGGGTCACCCTGGCCAGCTCTTGTGCTGGGACAGGGGATTACACCATCTCTGTTCAAAGAGGGGGAAATGTGCCTATGCCTTAAGCCAATGCACTCAGCAAGGAGAAGCACATCCTATTTATCTTGTTACCTGTAGTTTATTTTGGATGGCTGGAGGGAAATGGTTTAGTCATGACTGGGCATCGAAAACTGATGGACAAACCAAATGGCTTCCAGTTTTGGACTCGGAGGAGCCCTGAATGGAGGTGTGTAACTGGCTTAGATCATCCTCGGTGCCACTAGACACCACAATCTTGAATGAAGTCTTATTTATGGGCCAGAATGACATTTGTTTTTGGTTTTGTTCTGCAGACGTTTCTAATTTTTTCTTACTTCACAAGCTGAATGGTTTGTTATCAGAGATGGAAAAGAGGTTTGTTATTTCTGATATAACATTCAAGCACTGGGCTAAGGTTTGCACACGTGGAATGTATTCCTCAGTTGCTTATTGCCACAAAGTCCTATCCTGACTCATGATTTGGACTTCTGGCTCTAGACCAGGCCTGGCTTCCCTCAGTCTCTCTGCATATCTTACTCAGAGGCACTAGGAAAGACCTTAAAAGTGCTCTATTTGCAGTATGGCAATCTAAAAAGGGATCCTTTGAGAGTCCTCAGGTTACTGGACATTGGCATTACCAGTAACTTGGAGGCCCTTTCTGCCAGGATCTGCATGTATCACACACAAGTATAATTTTCAAGTCACAAAAAGCCCTTCTTAGCTATTAAAAACAACTACTCCACACCCTTCAGATAAACCATAACTCTCAAGTCCTGTGTGGCTAAGTATATGAAGAAGACAAGGTTGTCTGGGGCAGATGGAGGGGATGTTTTGTTTTGTTTAAATAGACAGACTGCCTCTGCATTTGACCATCTCACACCCATCACCTATGGATGAGTAGAAATAACAAAGTTCCCTGAAACTCTTCTGATTTTATTTCCAGTTGTGACATAAAAGTCATACTCCTTGGGAATTTTTTGACAATTAAAAAAAAAATGCTATGGTCACACATGCTAAATTGAACCCTAGAACAAGCAAATCAACAAAACACACAATAAAAATAATAGCAATTGGGGATATAAATCAAGAATCTCTGAGGAATACATGATACACAATTCTGGTTTTCAGTTATGTTAAAGGACCACCGTATGTCATGTAATAAACAGAATATCTGGCATGGGTAATAGTACATATTTCAGTTCAATCTACAAACTGGCAAAATGCATCCTCAGAACTCTCCCACCCATCTACCCACCCAACCAGAGTATTTGTCCATAGTCATGAAAGAAACAGTGACTGGAATTCTTGGGGGAGGGTGGAGACCAGCATTCATATTAATGTCTGTTAGCCCTACTTTTGAAAAAATGAAAGTCTTTCTAGTTTTTACATACACTATCTTCTGGACAATCACACTTCTGGGTCTAGTAAGGAATAACAGGATTCAAATGAATCTTTAGCCTCCTAGAGCTTCTGCTATGCTAATATTCTTTAAAAAAAATCTCAAATCAAAATGTGATCTTCAGATATATTTATCATTTAGTTCTATTTGGCATGTCTATTCTGTAAATCATGAGAGTTCTATTTGGAAGGACTACTTCAAGTTGACAGAAATTTTGAAGAGCTCCATGGTAGCATCTATCTAGATAGAAACTCAGTGTGTGGCTTTATAATTAACTGACTAAGGGATAACACTTACAGGCCTGAACTGGTTTTTAGCTTCCTTCAGATTATTCTCTCTCTAAATAAATTTTATTGCATGTCCACAAACTGTAGACCAAAGATTGCTTGAGGGTTGACCCTATAGAAAGGGTCAGTAAACTACAACTTGGAGACAACACTGACTCCACGGCCACAGACATTTACATGTCGCATATGAATGAACGATGTCACTCTATGCCCCACAGCTGACTGCACAGCCAGCTACACAACATTATGACCATATAAGCTGTTATAGAAAACATTTACTGATCCCTGAGCTACAGGTCACTTGTGGAATGTGTTAGACAGAGTAGAACAGAAGTCAGATTTCTCAGAAACAGAGAGTAGCCCGTGTTTCCCTGAGGTCTTGGGAATATAAAATTTGGCTGAGTATTTTAAGAAGAGTGACGTGTCTAAGAGAGAAGGCAGATCAGAGAACATGGGATAACTGAGACAGTGGAATGAAAAGAAGCTTAGGAACAACTAAGCTTAACTCTCTTCAGAGGAACTTTGATAGGTGTTTCTCAGGTGAGTTAATGCTTGATCCAAAGTGAGGGAAGGAGAGTGATCTCAAGTCACTATCTCTTTTCTAAAAATCCTTGAGTCCATCTATACCCATGAAGACTGCATCTTCCCATGTGCCGGAAAGACTTTCACACCTAGGTTCTCCAGAGAATACTTTGACCTTATATGATTTCCGTTACCCCTCCAGGGTAGCCCCTGTTCCTACAACCTCATATTAGACTGCTGATAGCTGGGAGGATGAAAATCAGCAACATCTTGATATATGTAGGAATAAGCAAACAGTGTGATTCTTTCTATGGAGCCATTTCTAGGAGTGAGCAGAGGAATGGCAGTTTACTTTTGCTCTTAGGAGTTTGGGTCTTCTCTTTGCTCCTTGGAGTAGAGCAAATACAAAAAAGGACGTTTCATATCCACATGCCTCTGCTTCTGTGTGGTAAGACAGGTTCTTAGCATAGATCTGCGCCTTTTGCTGTTAGTAGATTTGAACTACTGTTAAGTCAGCATCATTATAAATGAAGCTTTGTGGGTATGAGTATTCACCTTGGAGAGACAGGATATGCTTCAGTAAGAATGTCTACCATTTTGGGTACTTAATATACATCAAGACAGAAAAATTCTCTGCCTTCCATGTAAATATATCTGAAGGATCAAGATGACAGAGCAATGAAAGCATCCTGGTTTTACTTATTTTAAACAAAAGGTAGTCTAATGCTTGGGCCAAAGGGTTGAACAGATCCTTTTTTAGGCACCTGATCCTTTTTAAAGGATCAGTAAAAGGTGAAAAATTTTATTTATGTAAGTTGTAAACAAAACCAGATCTCCCATTCCACAGGACACACCTCAGGAAGTCTTAGGTACAAAGACAAGATGATAATCAGTTTCTTGAATGACACATTTGCATGGTTCACCAGTAGCAGGCAGGTGAGGGGACAGACAGTTCTAATGAAAGTAACAACCTTAGAAAACAGGTCTTTTATCTCAAAGATAAAATGTCTCTCTTGCAGTCTTTCATCACTTTTTCCTTGGAGGAAGACTTCCCTCATTCCAACATATTTCCATTGAAGCTTACTGCATTGGGATGTCAGATGCATCTCTTTCTCTGTGGTAATCGGAATTTAAAATTATACAGTTGCCTCTGAATTTCTCATTCACAAAGCCAAACCACTGATAAGTGGCAAAGCAGCCACAAGCCTGCTGCTCCAGCCGCACAATGCACCATAGGCATTAGCACTTTCTAAAGCAACGTGATTTGTATGAGTCTTAAAAGCTTTCTTCACAATGGCGTCCTTGAAATTTGTCAAGCCAGGTCTCAATGGCAA